CCCCAAAACCCCAAAACCCCAAAACCCCAAAACCCCGGCTTGTATATAAAAAATTGATTCATGCTCTTATAATCAATATTATATTTAAACACAGATTGGAGAGGTACTAAACGATTATTTTCTTGACCTAAATGCTATTGGTTAACGAAATTTTCCCTTTTCAAACGCAGGTGATATTTTTCGTCTGATATTATCTTAGCATTAACGAAGAGAGAGGCTTTTTTTACCTACCTCCTTTGGATTGATAAATTCATTGAAATCTTCTATTGTCAAACTAAAATTTCATACTCATTAGTAGTTTATAGGTGAAAGATGAATAACAACAACCAGTTATTATATAAAAGCGTTTATAATCCACAGACTCAGGCTGCAACTGGGAAAGGATTCGCTCCTATTTATACTACACAAACTAGTCCAAGCTTAATTAATCAGCCCAATTCCAACAAGTTCTGAACAACTGGAGTATCAAATATAGTAGAAAGTAAACCATCAATTCGAAAAATTTCAACTGTGCTGAACCTGAAGAAGAATTTCTTAAATAAAAATAAGAAACCTATACAAAGTGCTTTCAGTGTTGTGTCTAACTCTTCCCAAGTTTTGGAGGCAGTCACTGCTTTCAAGCAGCTTTCTATTTCATGTAAAGAGTTCAAATTAGATAATAAAGAGCCGGTGCTACCTAAGACTTTGGGAGACAAACAAGAGCTTAAAGAGATTCCAAAGATGAACTTTTTGAAGAGAAAGAAGCAGAAATGTTCAATGGACAGCTCAAATTCTTTGTCAACTTCGAATTCTTCAATGAGCGTAAACCTCCCTGATGGAGCAGAGGCCACTGATATTTATGGGATTAGAGCATTTGAGAGTACTCCTAGTGTATTAGAAGAATCCAAAGAGTTGGATATACCTGTTTTATCACCAAAATGTAAGGCATCCCCTTACCTCAGAAAAGATGTCGTCTGGAAGTCTCTCTTAAGAGCAATGAAGAAGTACTATTCTAAGGAATTTAGGGAATATTTTAACTACTCAGACCCAAAATTCATAAGAAGAGGAGATCTAAAGCAAATGGCTTTCACCCATGCAAAACAATTTTTGGAGCAGAGCTTTACATTTGAAGCTCCAGAAAATACTGCTCATTTTCTCTTTGCCTTGGTTGATATTAAGGGAAGGCTTTATGAAGAAAATGCAGCTTTTCCACAACTCGAAAGGGATATTAAAGACTTGTTGAGGTCTTTCACCTCCAAGAAGCTGAAAGACTTATTAAGGTTTCACCAATTCTCGAGCTTAATATTACATTTCTTGGTTCAGAATTCAGAGATTTCAGAGCTCATTTCAAAATCTAAGGGAGATGAGATGACTAAGGATGCCTTTCAAAGATACACTGTGTCACTCCGTACACTTGTAGAGTCGTATTTATAAATTAATTCAGGTTACACTAAGCTTTGTGCTTCGGATAGAATGAATCCTTTTCCGGAACTATTTCGGTACAAACTTTAGGACCCGAAAGTTAGTTTGGGCATTCATTGCTCTTAAATTCGGGATTTTGTCCTTATAAATCAGTGTGGGGTTCTACTTATTTCTTATGATCCAAGCTTAGCCTTAGTGAACCCCATTTTATAAAAGAGGCCTATTCAACTATATTTAATAATAAGGGGTTTTGGGGTTTTGGGGTTTTGGGGTTTTGGGGTTTTGGGG